CGCACACACACATACACACACACACACACCACACACGCGTCCTCTGTCCACCCTCCTCCTCCCTTTTTCAGCAGTCCTGACATCTCCCTCTCTCACCTTCCCAGCAGAGATGCTGGGCAGCTATGTCAGAAGATGACGACGATCTTGATGAAGTGCCAAGTTACTGAGACTTCAGAAATGATCTTAAAAGCTTGGGACTCGAGTAGAGTCTACAGGGCAGTAGCATCAGCATCTCTTAGGAGCTGTGAGAAATGCAGAATCTCAGGCTCCACTCCAGACTGACCGAATCAGAATCTACCTCTTAACAAGATCCCAGGTGATTCCTATGCACATTAAAGTAGTGCTGGAAAAGCCCCAAGTCTGGTGAGGGAGGCGTGTATGCAGACAACTTCAGTATGATATAGTGTCATATGAACAGTGTGTGCCCCCCTATAGGACGGAGTGGGGGAGATTTCACCAGGGAGCTGACATTTGAGCGGGACCTCGAAAAGTATTTGTTAAAATAGGATGAGGGATGGACATTTTTGGCATAAGGAGCAGCCTGAGTGAAGATAGAGTTTTGACCAGGCTTGTTAAGGGTACTGGCATTTGTGCTCAGTGCCTGGACTAAGTAGAGACTAAGGAAAAGGTTGCCCCCCAGGAAGAGTATAGGGAGGTAGACTAAAGAGGACCAGGAGCAGATCCCTTGGTGAAAAGATCCCAGGGGTGAAAAGTAGGCATATATGCAACGTGATGAAAAAGTAGGATTATCTGAGAAAAAGAAATTGACATCTGTGTGTAGAAACTTTAGTTGTTCCAGATTCTAATTATGTGGAAACTTTGATAATTAGGATAAGGATTTCTCTTGTATTTATTATAAAATTGGAGAATTACCCTACAAATAAATGTTGTCTATGAGATCTCAAGAATAAGTTTAGAGTTTTTAAAACAGTTTTAAAGTACTAGTCTATGTGTGTGTTCATGAAAAGTAATTCTTATTAAAATGGGTCCTCCAGAGCCTCTACTTGGAGACCTTTAAATCTGAACTCACGTTCCAAGAGCACCATAGAGGCGGCACCGTGCCTGATGGCCGCCTATTGCTTCCGTCACCCCGGGAGGGACAGACACCGTGCTAAGCACATCAGAAGTACTGTCTCGGGGGATACTCACAATGATGCTATGAAGTTGGCAATGTAAGGTACTCTTTCTGCTACTGTATTTTTTCTCCATTTCACAGAGAAAGATGCAGAAAATGGAGAAGTTCAGTAAGTTGTCCCAGGTCACA